TTAGCCGCTACTTTCCAACTGCATTGCCACCTCGATCGCCTGATCTTACCCCATGCGACTTCTGTCTATGCGACTTCTGTCTATGGGGTTACCTTAAGTCCAAGGTCTATCAAGGAGTGGTCCAGGACCTGGGTACGCTGAAGGATAACATATCACGGACTGTACGGGAGATTCCTGCAGACATGTTACTTTCTGCTGTTGTGCATACTGTGCACAGAATGCAATATGTGGTCCACAACAACGGCAGCCACATTGAACCTCATTTGAATGTAAAATAAAAGGCAATTTCCGTATTGATTTGCATTTGTTAACACTCTATTTTCTATTACACAGCCCCAAATATTCCCCTAGCGGTGACTTTTGGAACTAATTTTTTTTCGCCGAATCCTTCGTCCCCCGTCTTGCTTAATCTTCCTACAAAATGTGACGTCATTATCACAAATAGATCGCGTTACAGAACACTGTGAGCACTGTCAGTTAATTATAGCCACTCGTTATCATTATCGAAAGCAAGTTTCCGAAATTTAATATTTCACTCCCAGACTTTTTTATGAAGACAAATGACCACTTAGTATCACTTCTCGCAGTTATCATGTACATGAATTTAAATTGCAGTTCGAACATGAATTTACATAACTTTTAAGAAGGCAGTCGCATTTTTATACAACACATCAATATTTTTATTGTAACATTTGTATACCCATTTTAAAGTTTAAGAGTAAATTATATTGGCTCCCTAATTTATTTTCTTTTGTCTTTTCCTATTCCCAAAGAAGTTAGTCCATCACAGCTTTAAAGGTATAGGCTACTCCCGACGTTTTTCTTCTTTTTTATAAACTTGGAACATAACATAAAGTTCTAACATGCGGTAAGACAGAAATTGAAAAGAAATAATAGTTTTAGGACGAGAAATTAAAATTTTTGGTTTAAAACTTATTTTAAATGTTATTTATCACCATCACTTTTCATGATATTATACGCATCCTTTCCCGGCATTTCGCTCTCCATTTACATAATATTAATTATTTAACCAGATATATAAATCTTGTCTGTAAATACATAACCCGGAAATTCCATCTGAAGCTCAATTTATTCGAAATTACATCTTATATAAAAAAGTAAAGTCAATAATTAATTTACCTCTGATGTGTGGACATTCAGGTATAATTTAAAAAGAAGTAATTTCTAACACGCAGAATTTTCGAAGTTCTTCATTGTTTCATTTGGTACTCAATAGATGGCAGTACCAGTCGCAAAGGCAGCTTCCATAAACTAACACTAGCTCTAATTGGATGTTATCTTCTGGAAAATACGCATTCTAGGAAGTTAATGGGTATTTTATCTTAACGGTCATGTGTACGGGCCCTTTATTCTTGCTAGTTTATGAAGAACCGAAAGCGTTACTTGAATTGTTTCACGTATTACGAATTTGCTAACTGCCTAGGTCATATTGTTGACCATATCAGGCTTTTTATTCCTGTCACAAGCTAGTGCAGAAAAGAAGAGGAAACTAAAATTCGTATTATTTTTCTTCATAAGCAGTCAGTAGGCTTCTTCCTTATTTTTGTCAAAAACATAAAAACTTTTACCGTGGACCTGAAATTAAATATAGCATTATATACAAAAACTGATTTAATTTCAAATAGTTATAATTCCTTGCTTATTAATGGTGTACTAATTTGATAGATTCAGCGTTAACTTCAGCGACTTAAATTCAGCGTTTTAGATTAATAACATGTTATCAAAACATTTAAAAACAATACGGCATTTTATAATGGAAGATTAGATCTGTCACAGTTGATATACAGCTCAACAAATTTTAACAGTACGCCAAATTTACATATAGAAATATGTACTTTACAGGTCATATGTCCATTTAATTTTTGCTGATAACCTATATCATCTCAAAAAATATACCGACTACTGTGGAGGCAATGAAGTCATGTTGACACAGTTATAGGATATTACATAAAAAAATCTGGCAATTTTTGTTTAGTTTCATATGTTATTTCAAATCAGACCAATGTAAAGCAGTTTCAAATCAAATCAGTTATTGTCAGACAGCTGCACTGTCAAATTTATCAGAAGTTATTACATAACTGAAATTTAGTGGAAAAAGGCATATTTTCAAAGAAAACTATACCTCTAAAACAAATAAGAAACAGTTTTTTAAAAATCATTTACTCATTTACTGATTTAATATAAAAGCATTACTTGAAATAGAAATTGATAATAAATTTAAAATAAGTAAAAACATAGAAATCCTGCAGAACTAAAGTGAAAACTAAAGTACTACCCTGCAAAACTAAAGTGAAATTCGAAAATAAAATTAAGGTCTGAACTGCAATTTAATAGAAACTCCTTACCCTTAGATAGATAAATATTAAAAAGGTTAATTACTGTAAAACAATTTTATACTTCTACCTCTTCCAGTATTATTAACGTTAATAGTTTCTATATGTCATTTTGAAAAAAAAAAATATTTTCTATTTAAAAATGAAATAAATTGAATTAAAAAAAATTAAGAGAAATAGCATTTTGCTTATATATTAATTTAATTGTCGAAGTAGCATCATGTATGCTACTACTTATCTATGAAAGACAGCTATGAGCCAAGATTTATGAAAACTACCATTCAAATTTTTTGTTTTGAAATTTAGTTTATTCCTGTAATGGCAAATGAGACAGGAACGTAATGAAGAAAATGAAGATCGTTGAAAACAGAGTTCCGATATTACTAGCTATTAAAACAAGCGTTAATTTACAAATTAACGCTAGGAATTATCAGAATGTCTAAAACTGTCATTTCCTTTTCGAATTATATGAGGTCTATTTTGTGTATAGTCTGAAACATTAAACTATCATGTAACATTTGCAACTGCAGATCTAAAGTTTACTCATCAAGGAAGCAGATCAAAATACTGCATAAAATAACTTGAAGCTTGTGATTTAGAATAATTTTAGCATCTATTAAAGCACAGAAACCTTTTTGGCTTTCCATACAATGTGTTACTCCAGTGTATGCAGTTCAGTGAAAATAGCCTAATATAATAAAATCCGTGGATTTACGAGGTAACTGTGAAATATGTATTGCGTGAAAATATATGAAAATGCTTTCATTTAATTCAATCGCTCATAAATGTTATTTATACGTATTTTTATTCTGTACATATTTTCGCTAATAGACACAACAAACTTTCGGCAGTTCAAATGACTTGTAATTCCTAAAAGTTCGTTTTATACTGTAGTCAACATTTAGGTCTTCCTTAGGTCCATTCTTCAACTGTGTACGTCGTCATATACAACAAGCTAAAGTCATATTCCTATAAAATTTAACTGCTGCATTTAATACAACTGCATGACAATTAAGTGTACGGTTACACACGGTGTTAGTTTGCTACAGAGATTTGGCAATCAACTAGCATTTCGTGAGAATTTTCTCCTCCCAAAGAAAAATATATCCTATGGGAAAAAAGGTAGTGTAAATTCAGTTACTGAATCTGATATTCTGGAAATTTGCGAATGATACATGAAACATATTCGATATTTTACGAAGGTCAGTGTTCACTATGACCAAATAAGAAGCTGAATGCTTGATAGTTTTTCCTTTGTTTAAACTAATATTAACTACAGTGCTTTGCATATGGCTTTACTTTTCTAGAAAGAAGCCGTCCTTTGTGTACGTATAGCTTTTCCGTTAAATCACTGGTGAGCCAACCAGCTAAGCTTGGAAGCTACGCTAATAATAATAATAATAATAACTATGCATTTAATAACTATTTTAGCATATATGCAAGAAAATTCTTCAGCACTCAAACGGTTAAAATCTGAGCATATTTCTTAGGCATTCTGTAAATTATTGAATGCGAAATAAGCAAATTGCACCAAGTAACATACTTGAGATTCTTTAAGCTATGTCAACATCTTCTTTTTGAGACCTTACAACATTTCCAACAAGATCTTAATCTTCTTTTGTAATAGAAGGGGATGACTGAATACAATGTCAAGATTTGTTCGTCAAAGGGACTAGCGGTTCTCGCGAAATTTTTGACAGTCATGGTTATTAAGGCTATATCTGTCACCTGAGCACGATACAATGTGTGCTAGAAACAGAGCAAAAGCAAATTTCAGTTAAAAACAGAAAATCTCAGTTCTGTGTATACAGAAGAGTAATTAACATGGAAGACATCCAATGGATAAACAAATCTAATTCTGGTAGTTATAGTTCAGCAATTTATGGGAGCTGTGATAGAAGTTATTGAGCTTATGTGTGCTAGAAACAAAGGAAAAGCAAATTTCAGTTAAAAACAGCAAATCTCAGTTATGTGTACACAGAAGAGTAATTAACACGGAAGACATCCAATGGATAAACAAATCTAATTCTGGTAGTTATAGTTCAGCAATTTATGGGAGCTGTGATAGAAGTTATTGAGCTTATGCGAAATATCGAAATGTTCAATGTTCGGAATGTTTTTTTAACATACATTATGCGATTCAAAATGCCATTCAAGCTTGAATTCCTTAAATACGTAAAGGATTGTAATGTGTAGTATGCTGAAGGCAGTATTTGGATAAAATGTTCCAGTTGCATTCTTTATTGCATCGTTTAACAGATTTCTTTTGTTGATTAATGCCTAGTAAATGATAAACATTATGTTACACTTTGCTAATGTCCAGGTATAAGTTATTAAGGAAGGTTTAAATACTCACAAATAAAGTATAAAATTCTCAGTTTAAGCAAATTAAATCAGAATGCAATGCAAATATTTAAAACTTCCCCAAAACTTCACCAACATTCTATAGAATCAATATTCTCTACAGAATTTCAGATTTATGCATTAGCATCACTTCATAAATTATACTTAAATATCAGACAAATAATTACACCAACTAATAAAATTCATATACATTTGCTCAGTGAATCGTGCTTAAAGTTTGCATATATTTGTAGGAATGCAGAGTTATATTAATAGAATTAATCAGTTAAATTATAAACGTACCTTGTTTATATGATGCTGACATATATATTGGTCTGGTTGGACAACGTTTTATGGTTGCAAAGAGACCGTCTGATGATGCCTATTTGAAAGAAAAGGAGCATTAAACGTTAAATATTTTTGATTATGTATATTTAATTTATATTACAAAATTTATCATTTGACTAAATATGCAAATGTTGATTGTGAAAGAGAGTATTCTTTAAACATATGCAGAGCTCGGCTGAAAAGTTAATAAGAACAATGTGTCAATTTTACATAATGTTTCATTCAAATATTGCTCTCGTTATTCATCACTAGAGCTTTTAGTTTGACAAGCAATATATTTTTTAAAGAAACAGTGTAAAAAACCAAGCTTGAAGCTTATTTAAACACAAGCATTAAATAAAAAACTTATAGTAAAATTGAAAATTTTAAATATCTATTACAAAATATCATATAGTGATTTTATTTATGTAAAAACAGTTGACTAATTTTGATACACAGGGGTAATATTTTAACTTAGTTATCCCAGGAAAGAAAAGGTAGAAATTATTTTAAAATAACTTTTTGGTATAAGTAATGATTCATTAGAAATTAGATTAGAAAAGCAGTTGGAAAAAAGCTATTTATTTTTTGATTCTAAAAAATTATCTTCCCTGGATACGAAAGTAGCAATATGTTCAAGAACACACCCACACACACACCATAAGAAACGAAAGAAAAAAAAAATTAGACAAAATAAATAATAAAAAAGTGGACTGGAAGTACTGTTTACTGGATTGTTTCACTGGAAGTATGATAAACGTTTATTAAATTATCGGGCTTTTATTACTCATGGTAGTAAAACTAAATAAAAGTACTTTTTAGTAAGTAAATGTTTTATTTTACCACGCGGAAAAATACTTTTTACTTAAATTTTAATTATTTTTGCACATGGTGATTCGTAAATTCCGCTGCCATGAGTTTTATAAAATTTATAATGCAGAATAACAGGAGCAACTGACAGCTGGTGAAAAGAAGGAAGAAATATTTCTGAGTTCAGTTTCATGTGAAAAAAACAAATCTTTGGAGGAAAGAAAAAGAAGCAAATATCTGTGTTTTGAAGGACGGTATAGTGATTAACATAAATATTCTACATACATTTTTATTAATTGATGTATCGTAGAAGGACTTCAAATTTTGATCTACGAGTATTATTTTCGCATTAGCACAATTTCTAAATCTAAGCTTTGACTCATCATAAATTTAGCACAAGAAATTGATGGAAATTACGCTCTTTTTAAGCCTTATGCATTTTTCTTTACAATAAGTAATATAATACGATAATTTATCAAACAATAATGAAAAAAACCATAATTTTGCGGACATATTTCTCAGCAAAATGGGATGTTTTATTATAATTACCTTTTTTACATGCTGTCACTTTGCAGCATAACACTGATATGAGATCCATTAACTCGAAACTTAAAAGGAATAATGAAAGTTGTTAAAGTATTTAAATAAGATATTTCCAGTGATTAAATTTCTGTAAACATTCACATATAGTTTAAATTTTGATATGACGGAATACTCATACGAAAAACTTTAAAATTAGTGATGTCACTCAAACTCTGTTGGTGACAGGTGAAAACTCTAGAGCGTAATGAAAACCATTTCATGCAAATATTACATAAAAACATAGCCTTAATAGTTCTAAAACACACACAAAAAAAATATCGACTAGTGTAATTTTAATGAATTTTAATTAACTTTCCTAAAATGTTAAGATACATAATTTTAACACAGTTGATACAAAAATACTATTATATTGACAAAGTTCGTTTAGTAAGTTAGTAACTTAAATTTTGAAGTGACATTGTTGCTCTTTAAATTTAAATTCCAGCATTTATTATCTAATATTTCGTTTTCTCACCATCGAGCATTTTTTATTTTTACGATGAGGTTATAAAATATATTTTTAATTAGCAAATTTGATTTAAATATCCAAATAAATAAAATTAGAATTTTACAGTGCTAATACCAATTTTACAGTGCTAATAACCTAATAGGCTTAATTTTAGGTTACTATCGTAGCACAAATTTTATTAGAGAATGCGCATTTCTAGTTGCATAGTGCAGGTATTATTGTACAAAAGTTTGTAAATCTAAAATTACATTACATGGTATAGAATTCAGAGTTACATTCTAGCTAATTAATAACATTAATTGCAACATGGAATGCTAAAGTTTACTTAAAATAATGACTTTTTGAATTATTTCTGAATTTAGGTTTTTATCTTTTCATGAAAATAAGAATACAGATTTTGTTCCTCCAAATGCAATAACACTTATTATTTTAATTTCGAAAATCATATAAAATTGACTTCTAAAAATATATTCTTACTCTCATTAATGGTCATTATTCCTTTTTTTATCGAGCTGAAAAGTAATTGATAGAAATGAGGTTCATAATAACGTCGTTTTTTATACTTCATACTATTAAGTAAGGTAATGATCAAGCAGTTGCTGTTACATACTACTGTAAATTACGCTACAGACAGCAAGCATTATGATAAAACTTGATTTAAAAGAAAAAGTTTTTTAAATTTAGACTTCACTGTATAAATGTCTGCAATCCTCTATATTCCAATCAACGGTCAAATTAAAAATAATTCCTAAGAAAGTTAGTATTAAAAATATCATGTTTCAAAAAATAATTACTGTTACTCTCCCATTTAGTAACACTTGTACTTAAAGATATACACAAACAAATCCGCATGCATATACACACACACACAAATATACTATACATTCATTTTCTTTTGTTCTGCCACTTATCTCTGTTTCTAACTAGATTTTATATTGATAGGAGTATGAAAGAGATTTTCATTTAAGCTGAAACATATCATAGCCAAAATAACTCCTACGCCTAGTTAGGATAAAATGTAAAACAAAAGGTAGCACAGTAAGAAAATGGTTCTTAAAATGAGGTCCTACGCAACAATAAGTGAATCATTAATAAAACACGAAAATATTTTTAATGATAGAAAAAATGAGATGAGACTAGAATAAAGTTTTCCAAAAGGAGGACAAGCTGTATCGAACGGCTCTCAAATCTTTTATTATTACTCAATTTTTATTTTATTTTTGACCATTTAAAGCAAAACAAAAGTGTGCAATAAAAGGCGAATACCTTTCATGATTCCAGTATGACAAAATATTTCCAATCAATACCGTTTTTTCATCAGATAACGGGAAGAAGAATATAAGAATGAATAAACAAGTGGAAACAATTATCAAAAGAGACTGAGAACTCTTTCTTTTGTCGTCAAAATATAGATCCATAACATGCACATCAGTTATTATTTTTGCATCCTGAATTCAGGAAGAATTTTCCATTTACGTGGAGTGGCTCAATATGTGTTTTCTCCAAGAAACTGCAGTGGAAAGATATAGTTGTTAAACAGTTACAATATTTGTTGACAGATTTGGAAAATGTTCCTAATATTCAGATGCATGACAGATGTTGACTTTAGGATAATAATTGAAAACTTGAATTATTCTTTTTGCTACTATTTCCCGCTAACTTAAAAAAATTATTTAATATATTTAAATGCCGCACTTTTGTGCCATTGAACTCCAATGAAGAAACATTGTATTTCTCCGAATTCTATGTAACAATACAGAATATTGGGACGAATTTATTTCAAAACTTATAAAGTGATCAAACAAGTAGCAAAGTGAAGTGTTATTCAATATTCACTCAAAATGGTATTAAAAACAATCTTCCGACACACAACTTAAACCTTCATAAACTTCAGTTTAATATATTCTTACAAACAAGGAAACAAAAACAACCAGACTTCTTGCCACTGAACGTTACCTTAACTTGGGTGCATTAGGAGGAAATATTGACGACAATGTTTTGCAAGCAGCCTCCATCAGAAGACAAGCAGTAATGTCGCTGAACAAATCCCGACGAAAGGAATGGCAGCATGAGCGTTTCGTGGTTTTTCTCATATGTAACGTAGACGCGAGACTGTTTCGCTTAAAAGACTGTTTTCCTTAACACGAGAGACTGCGAGTCTGTTTTCCCTTAAAACTCCTTCATGAGATGTCCCTCTAATTGGCGAATACCATTGAGTGCAACGCCATAACAAAAAAAAAAAAAAAAAAAAAAAAAAAAAGTGATTGGAAGTACAATAAAAATTAACTTTACGACAAAAATTTACGAGAAATCACTACAGGAATACCGCAAACTGTTCTGTGCTTTATCTTCTACGTTTTTTAATGATAGAAATAGATATGGATACTCGCACCTTCGTAAATGGTATTATTCACGCTCATTTGTCAAACTATCAAAATATATTAGTAGTAAAACATATAATTGTATATTCTTCTACAATAGTTACTTATAATTTCTATCTATGAGTGTCGTTTATTTTTCTCCGTCTAGTAAGAAATGCATTTGTGGTCTCCAGACTCCTCGTACCCCTAGAACAGGGCTTCTTAACTAGGGGGGAGTTCCCTTAGTTGTTTCGTTCATAATTTCAGCTAAGGTAACGTCGAGGTAAGATAACTTTTATAGTTTCAGGGAAGAATGAGGTCAGCCTTTTATTTCCATGTTAAGTACTTAGTTTATAAAAAACTACTTTTCCTCAAAATTTGGTGTTTATCAATATTTTGTATACTTTTTCTTGTTTAACTTATAAAGCGCATTAAAAATAATCTAAATTTAAATTAATGTATCTATATATGTTTTTGCAGTTTTGGAAAGATTGGGGGGAATCATGGTCGAGTAACAGTGAAAGGTTTGCATGGAACAAAAAATGGCTGAGAAGAGTTGTCCTAGATTAAGAAGCGCATACAAAAATGTGCTTGCATGTACGAATTTTCTCGTTAAGGCTGTTTTCATGTCTATATTATGTTTAAGCATGTAGTTGCAACTTACATATTCTTAGTTAAACATGTTCTTGATATTCTTGTAGTTCGATTAATTTATAAGCGATTTTGTGGTACATTTCAAATTCTTTTATCCAAGTGCAGAAAACGACTAAGATTTTAAATAAATTAATTTCAGTAATATTCGAAACTGCTAAATAAAATATCATATCTTATAAC